ATTGTTTTATACGGAAGCAGAAAAGCCTAGAGCTATTAAGCCATTGCACTCTGCCTAATGCTTTGGCTGCATGATCAGAGATGAGAGAATAATAAAATTTGTGATAAGGGTGTCTCAGGAAGTAGTATGTGCATGGATCTGTCTGACTGGGCAAAAATGTGAAAATACTTGTGTCTCATGAAAATACTCATCATAGGGTAATCCAGATTCCGGGTTTTAAAAGCAACTGCATGAACTTGTAAGACCTAAAGTCTCACTTCCACTCCACGGAGCGTGAATAGCCAAAAAGGCCTCCACGATGCTGGGCCCTAACACTCAGCGAGGCTCCGGGAGCTCGGTGGAGAAACGAGAAACTCAGGAAGGAACACACCAGGCTAGATGGTAAATAGACCTTTATTAGTCTGGCCAGACGGCACTCCCGGAGCCAGGTGGCTCAGAGAGGCAACTGCTCAGGGGCTGAGGTGCTTTTTATAAGGTTTTTCTAAACAAAGAGTCAGGGAATTCACAAAACAAGACTGCAAACACATTGCTTATCTTATGCAAGAAATGTTCTAGGGTCACCTTTTGTCAAACCATTTGCCCCTGGGCGGGCTGTTAACCAAGGTAGCAATTAGCATATGAAGAAGCACAGTCTGGCCTATTAGCATGGAGTCACTTTAGCTTATTCAAGTCTTACAAACTATGTGTACAGCTGTACGCATGAGGCTGCATTGTTAAGCTTATAACCTATAGAAATGTACTAAATTAGTAACAAAACAAAGAAGGTGAGAGCAAAGTTGTACTGGAGTAAAGAAATAACACCAGCCTCCTGCCTCACAAGTGCAAGGAACTGAGTTCTATCCCTGGTACACACACACACACACACACACACACACACACACACACACACACACACACACACAAAGGAGAAGTAACACCAGATAGTAATTTTGAATCCATAGGAATAAATAAAAAGGAAAAAATGGTAAATAAATTTAACATAACAAAGTTTACAAGAAATAAACTCTTTAATAAGAAAAGACCTTAATAGATACAAAAATATGTAAACTTCTAACATATATATATATAATAAGTATTATTATAATAGCACAAAGTGGAGGGATAGGAAATAAAAACATTATTACATTATAATATAAAAAGATGGAGGAGAGCCAAGCATGGGGGCACATGCCTATAATTCTCACACTTGGAAGCAGAGACAGGATCTTTATTCCATACCAGCCTAGTTCTAAGAGTAGAATCCAGGGTCTTTGCATTAAGCTACATGTATGGCCCCTTTGTATTTTGAAACAGAGCCTTGCTAAGTCCCTATTTTTACTTCTTTTCCAACAAATTGGAGAAACTAGAAGAATGTATAAATTTCTAGATACAGATGACTTGCCAAAATTGAAGCAAGAAGATATAAACTCCTGAAAAACCATGGCAGGAAATTAAATAGAAGCAGTAATAAATGAGGCAGGTATGGTGGTGCATGTCTGCAATTCCAGCAACTCAGCAAACCAAAGCAGGGGGATTGCAAGGTCCTGGACAATCTGGGTTTTTTGTTTGTTTGTTTGTTGTTGTTTCAGACAGGGTCTCATTATGTAGTTGAGGATGGCCTTGAACTCACTATGTAGCCCAGGTTTGCCTCAAACTCATGGCGATCCTCCTTCCTCAGTCTCCAGAGTTCTGGCATTACAGGTGTACACTATGTGCCCAGCAGTAACATCTTTTGTCTTAAAAGAAAAACAATAACATACATGCCATAGGTTCGCCACCACTGAACTACACCATGACTAGAAGAATACAAAAGAAACTAGCTGGGCCTGGTGATGCATGCCTTTAATCCCAGCACCCGGGAGGCTGAGGCAGGAGGATCACTGTGAGTTCGAGACCAACCTGGGCTACATAGTGAGTTCCAGGTCAGCCTCAGCTACATAGTGAAACCCTGTTTCAAACCCCCCCCCCAATTTTTTTTTTCAAAGAAAATCTCTGTTATAGGATAACTGTCTGGGAGTAGTTAGTATTCTTTGGTGGATATTAAATAGGTGGGTGATCTGCTGAATTCCTACTTGATTTGCAGAAGTGGCAGAATTCTAGGTCAAACTAACAAAAACCTCGTTTAAGTAATAGAAACAATCAGGCTTCCTCAATCAATTCCCAGACTTGAGCCAGTCACATAGACCCAGAATAAAGGGGAGGCCAGGTCTCCCATCCAAAAATTTATACTGTTAATTTTTCTGTCAGCCCCACCAAAAGGACCTATGACTTTCACCAGGATTACTACATTGACCTTTTAGGGATTACTAGATACTGACTCTGAATTTACAGTAATTCCAGGAGACCCAAAACATCACTGTGGTCTGCCAGTCACAGTGGGTCTTATGGTGAGCAATGGACTTTAAGCTGTGGTTTGTCTCAGTGGGATGCAGTGGGTCCCCAAACTGTTTCTGTGGTTATTTCTCCAGTGCCAGAATGCATAATTGGCATTTACATACTTAATACCTGTTAGAAACCCCACATTGAGTCTCTGGACAGAGGGTTAGTATAGTGGGAAAGACTGCTTCAACCTAGAAAAATAATAAGCCGAAAGCAATATCACATTCCTACAGATTTTCAGAGATTAGTACATACTATCATTTTAAGTATTTGAAAGGTGAGAGTGGTGATTCTCACCATATCCCCATTCAACTTGCCTATTTGGCCTGCGTGGAATACAGATGGATCTTTGATAACTCTAGTTTTTTTTTTTTTTTGGTACCCAGGGGATTGAACTCTGGTCTTTGCGCTTGCGAGGCAGGCGGCGGAACCACTGGGCTAAATCTCCGGCCCCAGATGGATCTTGAAGAAAGACAGTGGTTTTATTATGAACTTAACCAGGTAGTGACTACAGTTGCAGCTGCTATACCAAATGTGGTTTTGTTGCTTGGTACTTGGTATACAGCTGTTGATCTAGCAATTTTTTAAATATCCCTGTTAAAGATCACCAGAAACAGTTTGCTTTCAACTGGCAAAGGCAGCAAAATACTTTCACTGTGCTACTGCAGGGATATATACTTTCAGTAAGCTATGCAATTATTTTTGTATTGTAAAAACTATTTTAATTTTCTTTATTCTAACTCTGTGAAAAGTAGAGTTATTCCATCATCCATTGGAACTAATGTTTGTAGTATTAATCATAAAGCAAATGCAAATTAAATCTACAGTGTACCACTTCATACCCACTAGAATGAATAAAATTTAAGACTGACAATGTTTCAATGACATGATTTGCATACATTGCAGGGTGGAATTGTACAATGGAATAATCACTTTCAAAAACTATTTTGTGGGCTGGAGATTTAGCTCAGTGGCACCACACCTGCCCTGCAAGCGCAAGATCCTGAGTTCAATCCCCAGCACCAAAAAAAAAACCCCAAACAACAATAAAAACCTATTTTGCAATATCTATCAAAGTTAAATACAGTGTTTTTTGGTACTGGGATCAAATAAATACAGTATTGTATGATATATAACACAACTGATTTGTTTGCTTATTTTGTGGTACTAAGGACTGACCCTATATTTTTGTATTGAGCTATATCCTCAGACCTTTTTATTTTGAGAAAAAGTCTCTCTTGAGTTGCCCATACTGAATTTGAACTTGGGGTGCTCCTGCTTCAGCCACTTACAGTGCTGGGAATATATGAATATATATTGTTTTGTTTTGTTTGCTACATAGTTCAGGCTGGCCTTCAACTCATTATGTAGCCCAAGTTAGCCTTGAACACCTTCTGCCTCCAGTGTGGAATTATTGGTGTACACCACTACCACACCTGACTATTACAGTGTTGAAATTATAGACATATGCCACTATATGATTGATTTCATAAATACATCAAAAGACTGGTATAAAGGTGGGAATGATGATACATGCCTTTAATTTCACCCATTCAGGAGGCTGAGGCAGGAGGATTGTGAGACCAGGCTGGGAAATTTAACAAGACCCTGTCTCAAAACTATTTTTTAAAGGTATATATGTCAGTAATAAGAGTGTTTGTCCAGCATGACACAAGACCTCAGTACCTTTATAACAAGAGATACAGGGCCAGGGATTTAGTTCAGTAGTTCTGCCACATGCCTTGCAAGTGCAAGGTCCTGAGTTCAATCCCTGTTACAAACACACACACACACACACACACACACACACACACACACACACTTACAAACAAGAGATACAATGTTAAACAAGGTGGCTGGATGCAAATTATATGCTGTATGATTCCACTTATATAAATTTCTGCCCCGGCCAGCGGGGTTCATTATTAGTAGGGCTCGAGGAGGGGAACACCCGGATCGGGAACAGGAACGACGCAGGAAGACAAGAACCAAATAGAGCTCTTTTAGTGGTCAAATTTGACAATTTTTATTTCTCACACAGCAGCTTTTATGCAGGCAGGGATGAGCAGGGACTTTCCCGGTTGCTAGGTTACCTAACCTAGGCTGGTCTAGCTAGATAAAGTAGGGCATGGCCAGAATGTCGCTGGGAGGGGTTAGGATGTCCCCGGGAGGGTGTAAAGTTCCTATCAGGGGCACACACACACACACACAAGGTGGAGGGGCACACACGGAGGGTGGAGGCGCACATAGGTCTTGGTCTCCAACAAATTTCAATTCCAGGCAAAACTAATCTACTATGATGGTCAAAATCATTGTTAATCATTGTTAATTTTCAGGCAGTAAAATGGAAATGAGAGTACTGCTAACACTTCTGAGTATCCAAGAGAAAAGCCAAAGTCACTGACCATTCATGGTCCATGAATCCTGAGAGGTCAGGATTACTTTATCCCATCGTCTTTTCAGGTCATCCTTGGAGTCAGACTCAGGGTCATCCCTTGGAGTCAGACAGACATTAACAAAGATTTAAAACTAGAATCCGCTGTCAAAATTCGAAACCGGCCCGGGGGATTGTGGGAAATGTAGTTCAAGGAGGGAAAAGCCCGGATATCAAGAAGGCTCGCGTAGACCGCGGCCCTAGGAACACGCCGCGGAGACCCCTGGGAGACCGGGATTGTGAGGGAGTGCGCAGGCGCGCAATGCTGGCCAGTGGCCGAAGGTGAGGCGAGTGGTTAGTACAGGCGTGAAGGGCCGGGTGTTAGTGGGGACTCGTTGGGGAGGTCGAAGAGGGAGGTAGGAGCCAGAGTGAAAAGCAAGAAAAGAAAAAAAGACACCCGGGCCGAGGAAGACGGAGAGGGAAGTGAGAGTCCAGGCCCCAGAAAAGACGTGGAGGGAAGCAAAAACCTAGGATCCGGGAGCGCCAGTCTGGGAGCATCGAGAGGGGAACCTGGAGTCCGAGGCTGGTGTGAGCTCAGCAAGGGCAGGGATTTTGTCGTCCCCCCACCCCCACCCCTTCCCCAGGAAATCCTAGAGTCTGGAGTGCAGCTTGGCACACAACAGGCGCGATATTTGAATGGCTTTTGTGCCTAACTTTGTGGGTGGGGGAGCAAATGTTACCTCAGGTGATGTGGAACTCTGGTCATTTAAGAAAGTGAGGCGTCTTTACTAGGGTCTAAGTTTTAAATAAAATGAGTGTTCATTTATGTTTTAGAAGGTGCGAATTTGGTGAGGGGAAGGAATTATGAATGTATTTTTTATACTTTGTGTAGAAAAAAAGTATGCTATGGCTCTGATATTGCACCTGATGTGGGGCCTACAAGATTATGACTGTGTGGTGGGTGATACATTTGTGACTGTGACTCATTTTTGTAGTATTTTCTGTGCAACAATCCGTGATAACTCTGAATGTGGCTTATTGTGTGAATGAACTAGTTGCTAACTAGTTAGATATACATTGTTTAGGTTTCCCGAAAATTGGCCATTTCACATGCTTGTAGAATTTGTAATTAGACAAGTAAAGTAAGAGGTGGAGATAAAAATTATTTTCATAGGCCAAGCGTAGTTGGTGTATGCCTGTACTCCCTGCCCTCTGGAAGGCTGAGAAAAGAGGATTGCTAAATTCAAACCCAGCCTGAGCATTTAGCAAGACCCTGTTTCAAATTTTAATAAAAGAACTGAAGATATAGCTCAGTGCAAAAGCTCTAGGTTCAGTCTCAGGTACTACAAAACAAAAAACTTTATCCTTTAACTGCCACTCTCAAAATTTCTATTTTGGGTGATTTTTTTTTTCCCTTCTGCTGGAGGGATTCCTGGGAAATTCAGTAATTTCACATTCTTAAGATAATGAAATCTTTTGAACATTTAAACACAAGATCGGGCTGGGGGTTTAACTCAGTGGTTCTGCTGCCTGCCTTGAAAGTGCAAGGACCCAAGTTGGATCTCAGGTACCAAAAAATAAACAAACACAAGGTCACTCTCAATTCACTTAGCTAATTAAAATGTTGATTGAATAAATCAAAATTGTTTTAAAAGCCACAAAACTTTCTTTTTTTTTTTTTTTTTTTTTTTTTTTT